ATACAACATTCCTTCCATGTGTGCCCGCGTCAGGTCTCATTTTAGATGGCTGTGAGCCACCATATGGTTGCTGGGAATTGAACTCAGGACCTCTGGAAGAGCAGCCAGTGCTCTTAACCACTGAGCCATCTCTCCAGGCCCCACAAAATTTCTTCTTAAAAGCAGATAAAATCAGTGGTTGAAAAAGCAGTTTGCAGCTGGGCAATAGTGGCCCATGTATTTAAACCCAGCACTTCAGAGGCAGAGGCAGGAGGATCTCTGAGTTTGAAGTCAGTCTAGTCTGCATAGTAAACTCAACGACAGCTAGGACTACACAGAGAAAACATCTCAAAAAAAAAAAAATCAAAGCAAGAGGGGCCCGGAGGTGGCAGCACAGGCCTTTAACCCTAGCACTCAGGAAGCAGATGCAGGAGGACCTCTATGAGTTCAAAGCCAACCTGGTCTAGAGAGCTAGAGTTCCAAGACAGCCTGTTACAGAGAGAAACTGTCTCAAAAAAAAAAAAAAAAAAAAAAAAAAACCAAGGAAAAGAAAAAAAAGCAAAGGGGTTGGAGAGATGACTCAGTGGTTAAGAGCACCGCCAGTTTCTCTCCCAGAAGAGCCAGGTTCAATTCCCAGCACCCACATGGCAGCTCACAGCTATCTGTAACTCCAGTTCCAGGGTACCCCACATCCTCATGCAGGCAAAACACGAATGCACAGAAATAAATAGTAAAAAAGAAAAAAGAGGGGGCTGGAGAGATGGCTCAGAGGTTAAGAGCACTGCCTGCTCTTCCAAAGGTCCTGAGTTCAATTCCCAGCAACCACATGGTGGCTCACAACCATCTGTAATGAGGTCTGGTGCCCTCTTCTGGCCTGCAGGCATATACACAGACAGAATATTGTATACATAATAAATAAATAAATATTAAAAAAAAGAAAGAAAAAAAAGGCAGTAGGCAGTTCTGCAAATCTGAGATTTTCTCTCCAAGTGATGGTGGGGGCAGTGTATGCCTTTAATCCCCCAGCACGTGGAAGATGACAGAGGCAGGCGGATTTTTGTGAGTTCCAAGTCATCATGTCTACAGAGCAAGTTCCAGGACAGGCTCCAAAGCTACACAGAGAAACCCTGTCTTGAAAAGATTCCCCCCCCCAAAAAAAATATAAAGGAAAAGTTGAGGTTTTTCTCAGTTCTTCATAATCTAAGAGAAACAGAAGTAGCTCCTTTTGTAGAAAATACTATTTTTTTCTAGAAAATACTTTTTTTGTAGAAAATACTTTCTTTTGGGGGGCAAGGGTGGCTACGTACCCATGCTGGCCTTGATAACAAAATATCAAGTTATTGGGGCTGGAGAGATAGCTCAGAGGTTAAGAGCACTGCCTACTCTTCCAAAGGTCCTGAGTTCAATTCCCAGCAACCACATGGTGGCTCACAACCATCTGTAATGGGGTCTGATGCCTTCTCTGGCTTGTAGGCATACACACAGACAGAATATTGTATACATAATAAATAAATAAATATCAAATTATTTCTGCCTCTGCCTCCAACATACTGGATTATAACCCTGCCAACATGGCCCTCTAGAAATTTTTAACTTAAATATTCGAAGTATATTTTTATTTTTAGCCTTTAATAAGGTAGGAGTATGTAGACTTTCAAGAGAAATATAAAACAGAACAGAGGAATGGGAAATGGCTCAATGACATACAGCACTTACAGCACAAGCACAAGGCCCAGAAATCATGGTGTGCAGGCTACGAAGACCATCCAGTGGATAAAGGCGCTGTTCCAGAAGACCAAGGTTCAGTTCCCAACACCCACATGGCAGGCAGCTCACAACCATCTGTAACTGCAGTCCCAAGACCAGACTTCTAACCCCAGGTATTCATTTGGTGCACAGACATGCAAAACACATATACATAAAATACAATCTTAAAAACTTTAAGACCAGGTATGCATGGTGACCCCATCTTATAATATTAGTGCTTAGAAAGCAGAGATAGGGGAGCCCTGGGCAAGCTGGCCAGCTATACATGTAGACCAACTGCTGGGCGGTGGTGGCACACATCTTTAATCCCAGCACTCGGAAGGCAGAGGCAGGCGGATCTCTGTAAATTCGAGGCCAGCCTGGTCTACAAGACCTACTTCCAGGACAGGCTCCAAAGCAACACAGAAACCCTGCCCCCCCCCCCGAAAAAAAAGAAAGAAAAAAACATGTAGACCAACTGGCAAGTTTCCATTTAGTGAGAGACCTTGCCTCAGTAACTATGGAGAGAGTAACTGAGAAAAGCATGTGATTTCATCCTCTGGCCTCCACATGCACACCTACACACATACATAGATATCCCTCTCCCAAAAAAAGCAGAAAAGTGAAATAAATTAATTTTTTAATGAGGAGACGATATGTAAAGGTGTCTTCCTACACAAGTGCTCTTAAACACTGAGCCATCTTCCCAATCTATTTTCTATCTTTTCAACACTATTTTCTTTTTCTTTTTGTTTTTGTTTTTCGAGACAGGGTTTCTCTGTGGTTTTGGAGCCTGTCCTGGAACTAGCTCTTGTAGACCAGGCTGGTCTCGAACTCACAGACATCCGCCTGCCTCTGCCTCCCAAGTGCTGGGATTAAAGGCATGCACCACCACCGCCCGGCTTCAACACTATTTTCAAATAGGTATCCGGGGCACAAAATAAGCAAATGTTCTAATTTATTACTTCAAGAAATGAGAAAGATGCAAAACTCTTCTTCCTGTCACAATCTCTAATCATTAAATTATTTAACCCAAAAAGATCATAACTCACAAGTTACTGTAGAGACTGAATCAAACATGGTAGTTAATGTGGCTACAATTCCAGCCCTGAGGAGGCTGAAGCAAGATATCACCTCAAGTTTAAGGTATATCTGGACTGTACAATGACTCTTAATTAGGCTGGGCTTCAGAAGAGAGTTTGTCTCAAAAAAATAAGTAAGAAGACACAGAGACTGCTGAGATGTAATCTTACTACTTCCAATGTTAAAGCGTGCCTGGGTTACAAAGTGAAACTTGGTCTCAAAAAACTAAAGCCTAATAAATAAGTAAAATTAATTTAGATAATCAATTTTGGGATCTGCAGGCTTATAACTAAAATAGCACCTTCTCTTTTATTAACAAGAAGCAGTCATGAGGCCCCCTTGAAGTAAAAAGTAAAACTTCTGTGGAGAAACTCCTCACATCCAAAAAAAACATTGCTACAGTTGTCTTTTAGAGGAAAGCATCCACATAGTCACAAAGACATATACTAGGTGGGCTGAGGGTATAACTCAACTGTTAGAGCATTTGCCTAGTATACATGATGCCCTGGGTTCTATCCTCAGCATCCCATTATAGGCATGGTGGTGTGTGCCTATAAATCCAGCACTAATGAGGGAAAGGAAAGAAGCAATCACTTATGTTCTATCCCAAAAATAAGTAAATAGGAAAAACATTCAGCAATACAAATACACATGGTTTACAAAACAAAATACAGACTGAATTAATAACTGATTTCAGATTTGGGGAAACAAAAAGGACTAGGCAGTAAAAAAATAAATTGACTGAATTCTTATTTTCTTTTTGATAGTTTTCTAAATTTCTCCATGATGAACATTACTTTTGAATTCTGAAAGTCTCATTTAAAAATATAAATCAGGAGCCAGGAAGTGGTAGTACAAGCTTGTAATCCCAGCATCTGGGAGGCTGACTCGGGGAAAATCTCTGAGTTCCAGGCCAGCCTGGTCTGTCTTCTAGAGGAAACAAACGGTGGTCTACAGTCACGGTGAGTTCAAGGACTGTCAGAAATACAGAGAAACCCTTGCTCAGAAAACCAGAAAATAAATTAATAAATAAACCAAGACCTGCGAGATTACTCAGTGAGTAAAAGTGCTGACCACCAAGCCTGATATGACCTGCGTTTGATCCTGAGAACCTACACCAACTCCCACAAGTTGTCCTCTCAGCTGACTGTGCTCTGTGGACATTCGCACATGCCCCACCCCCTAACACACACACACACACACACACACACACACGGAGAAAATACACCTTAAATCTACAAGGCTCATTTATTAGAACCCACTATGCTCTCTATTTATAAAAGAGGTTGAAATGCTATATAATATTTAATGTCCTGTTATTTTTGTTACACTCTTCAATGATGGAATTTTCAGTTTCTCCTTCAAGTTCCGTTTCTTCATAAATACCCGTTTTAAACTTTTTTTTTCAAAACAAGACTTCTCACGAATGTTCATTCTTAAATGACTTCTAAAGTCCGTAAAAACAAAATTGGGGGGGGGGGGGGGTGCCCCCAACTACAGTTTCGTCTGTCCACCTTCATTTAAGCTTAAAAAAACTGAAGGCCGGGTAAACTACACGTCCCACCATGCATTGCTGCCTTATTCAGAGTAGGTCTCTACGGAAACAGAAAAAAAAAATTCTCCAAGTCCCACCTGTTACTTCGTTTCTAAACACCTCTAGCACTTTCAGCTAGGACGGCAAACACAAAAGCCTTAGGACCTCTCGTTGGCTCCCTGAGCCAGATAAGCAGGGGGCCCCGGGTCTGATGGCACGACCGCTCCGGCGCAAGGAACGCCACCGAGCTCCAACGCTCCCCTCTCCTTTCCGGGGCTGGATGCACGCACAAGCCTCCTCCTGTCTGCATCCAATCGAGGCTCTCCAAGGCGCACAAGGGAGAAGAACCGGTTACTGGGCAAGCACAACACACGGTGCCGAAACAAGGGCTAGCAGTGTGGGGGCGACAGCGACCTGACCCCCGACTGGCAACCCCCGACTGAAACACCAAGGGGTCCGGTTACATCCCCCGTGAGAAGCGGCAGCCGCGCGACCGGCGCCTCGGTATCCTTAGGGCTCGCCAAGGCGACCCTAACCGCCGCCCTCTGCGCGCGCTTTCGTGCCCCTCTGCCCGGTCGCGGGGCCAAGTGACCTCCCTTTCCATGCGACGAGCAGCCGGCGAGAAAAAGAACTCCCCCCTCCGGTCCCTCCTCCTCACCGTCTTGGCGGCCTCCGCCCAGGTCCTGCCCTTCTTCCTACGGCCCTTTTCCCTCATGTCGGGTCTTGAACTGACTCGGAGGCTTCCGTGCCCCGGCTCCGGCTGCCTTCCCTTGCCTGCTGCGCCCTGCACTGCTTTTCCCGCGGTGCCGGGAAAAGGTGGGAGAAAGGGAAAGTCGGACCGGAGAAGCAACTCAGCCGAGGAGCGGCAGCGGAGGCGCGCAGTGGGGCGGGGGAGGGGGGGGGAAGAGGTCTACGGGGCGGCCGGTCCTGCTGCTGTTGCCACTGCGAACGCCGCTGCCATATTGGGTTCTTACTGTACAGGCAGCCGCTGTGGTCATGTGACCGCTCCCGCGCGGCCGTCACTACTGTACGCAGCCCGCCGCGCGAACGAGCGCGCACTGGCGCGCGCCCCCGGCCTTAGCGCAAGAGCCGGCTGTCTGGAGCGCTTTGCCCCGCCTCCGAACTTCCGGTCTCCGCCCCTCCTCGGGCGCATGCGCGTGACGGGGCGCGCTTCCCAGAGTCTGTGGGTCGGTTTCTGGCGGTGCCAACCCACCGCGAAGATCTGCCGGCGGAAACGGAAGCCTCTCCTGCCTGGGAAGGCTGTTTGAGTGGTTGTGGACCGCGTGTGTGCGAGGGACGGCTCTGCAGACTTAAAGAGCCCGGCGCTCGCCCCAGTGATCTTGCCGAGTACCATTGCAAGAAACTTCAGGTTTTATTTAATTGTGGCACAGGCGCCCCCGCTACCGATAGTTACACGCATGCACCATCGTGCCCTAAGTTACTTTTTACAAAGCTCTTCTTTTTAAAGATTTACAACAAGCTGTCTTCGTCTATTACTAAACTCAGTTTAATAGATGAGATAGGTTAAATTGATTTACCAAACTCGCGTATAGGATGTGGAGAAGCCAAAAAACCAGGTTATTTTAGCTCACAAGCCTTGCCTCTCAAACCGTTTTCCATGTGATTAGTCTCATAAAAGATATGTCTTACCTCAGAAAACTCAGCCATGGCACTGTGCCTGTATGTATCAGGCATCCGCTAGATAGTTGTTGAATGATTCAGCTGTGTCTCGTCAAGAACTGTTGTTCATTATTCGTGTCAGTAACACCCTCTTGAAAAATCCAGAACGTGGCGTTTTACCCCAGGTGGTTTTTTTTTTTGTTTGTTTGTTTAGCTGGATGGTTGATTGATTTTGGTTTTTGGTTTTGTATTTTTTTTTGTTATTGGGCAAGTTCCCAGGCCATCGGGGGTTGTATGAGACCCTGTGTCAAAAAAGAACCAACAAAAAACGTATATGTGAGCCTGGCGGTGGTGGCGCACGCCTTTAATCCCAGCACTCGGGAGGCAGAGGCAGGCAGATCTCTGTGAGTTCGAGACCAGCCTGGTCTACAAGAGCTAGTTCCAGGACAGGCTCCAAAACCAAAGAGAAACCCTGTCTCGAAAAACCAAAAAAAAAAAAAAAAGTGTATGTGATTGTTACGACCAGATCACTGAGTCCCCCAAAAAACACTGCAAAGTCTGCACTCATATGTAAAAGCAAAGAGCCTTTATTCAAGTTTAAGCTTGGACTCTCCTTAAGTCCAAAGCAGTGTTTGAGAGCAGAGTCCCAAGCGCAGTTGAGGTAGGGATTTTATCATAGCAGAGGTTGGGGGTTTCCAGGGTTCAGGACCCTGATTGACTAACATTTCTCCAGGGGTCTTGGCAGAAGGGGAATAGGTAAATCCTAGACCCAAGGACATCTGATGATCTTATCTAATGGTTGGACTACCAGTGGTGTCAGCTTCTGGCTTTTCCTGGAACCCAGTGCTGCCTGCCATGGTAGCTGTATGGCCTGGGCCCCATGTGTAGTAGGCCACACATGACCTGGGCTCCATCATGTGCAGTCAGGCTGTCCTTGGTCCCACAGTGAGAAATGTAAATTCCTATTTGGCTTTTGTAACTCTGACGGCAGTGGATCTTTGAATGTAGACTAAGACTGGCCTGGAACTCACAGAGATCACCTGCCTCTCTCTGCCTCCTGTGTGTTGGAATTAAAGAGGTGCGTGCATCATCACACGCAGCCTACAGGTAGGTTTTTTTTTTTTGTTATTGTTTTGTTTTGTTTTTAGACAACTTTGAGCCTGGCGGTGGTGGCGCACGCCTTTAATCCCAGCACTCAGGAGACAGAGGCAGGTGGATCTCTGTGAGTTTGAGACCAGCCTGGTCTACAAGAGCTAGTTCCAGGACAGGCTCCAAAAAACCACAGAGAAACCCTGTCTCGAAGAAAAAAAAAAAAGAAGAAGAAAGAAAAGAAAAAAGAAAACTTTGGTAACTTTACCTCGACTTTAAATTTATTTTTATTTATTTATTCTAGAGACTGAATCCAGAACTTCAACATGTAGCCAAGTGCTCAACCATTGGGCTCACATCCTTATCTCTCAGTTTAAAATGGCAAACAAGAGGAGTGGAGAAATGGCTCAGTGGTTAAGAGCACTGCCTGTTCTTCCAAAGGTCCTGAGTTCAATTCCAAGCATGCACATAGTGGCTCACAACCATCTCTAATGAGATCTGGCACCCTTTTCTGGCCTAGAGGTATACATGCAGACAGGAGACTGTATACATTATAAATAAATAAATAAACAAACAAACAAATCTTTAAAAAATGGCGAACAAAAAAGTAAAGAATGTTAGTAAGTTTGAGAATACTGATCACAGTATTCTGACAATTGATATATATTTTTCTCAGCAATTACTTTAATAACTCACAGCACTATCAGATTTATTGTATGTGCCAGCACAGTACAAAGCCTGTGTCTTCAGTCAATTCAAGAAGGCCCAAATCAAGCTGAAAGAAAAGATTGCTAAGAGCTTGAGCCCTAACCATAGTCTTGACCAATTTGCCATCTCTAACACGTTTGCCTAAAGTCAAGGTCATGCCTGGGAATAGGCTATAGAGTGGGCCTGCTCAAAGTCCATGCCTCTGACACTATGTGGAGCAATAGCAATGACATTTTCTGGGGGAAACACAGAGACACAACACGTTCATCCACTCACCCCAGAAAGAAAGCCCACAAAACACCAAAGTAAGAATTGAACCAACATCCAATTCGATGAAACAGTGACTTTTGTATTGGGGTCACTAACAAGAGTGTGGGTGAATGGTTACTTAAAAGCAGTAGGAATGACTGACCAAACCACCTGTGTCACCAAAAAGCCCACCCCAACATGGGTGCCTGCTCAGAAAACTGCAACCATGAAGCGTTCTTTCCAGCTAGACAGAATCTCTCTCATTAGATGGTTTTCCCAAACAGAATCTTTCTTTTTCTTTTTTTCTTTTGGTTTTTTGAGACAGGGTTTCTCTGTAGCTTTGGAGCCTGTCCTGGAACTCCCTTTATAGACCAGGCTGGACTTGAACTCACAGAGATCCGCCTGCCTCTGCCTCCCGAGTGCTGGGATTAAAGGCGTGCGCCACCACAGCCCAGCCAAACAGAATCTTGTTTGTTTGTTGAAACAGGGTTTCTCTGTGTGTGTGTTTGTGTATAATAAAATACTAAATTAAACCAGAATATATATAAAGGATATATATATATATATTTATATATGTCTTAACTTTAGAATGAAAGTCAAAAAATTGTTACATTGGAAGAGAGGTTATGCTTTTGTTTCCAGAGGAAACAAAAAATTATAGATTTTTTCAAAATGAATAAAGATCAAATTTGATTGGAAGAGACCTCCTTAAAATCTTGGCTACAGACATAAAGCAAACAAACAAACAAACAAAAATACAAAACAGGTAACATATAAAACTGATCTCTCTATACGGGAACAGCTCTGAGACTAAAGGACATGCTAAATCTAATCGGCTGCAAAGTCTTCATGACAATTTGATTATACAGTCCAAACGGATTTATAAAGTCAACATTTGTCTCTTACCTGCTCAAACATAGAACCTAAGAAAATCATCTTTCGCTGACTTGTGCACACTGCACATTTTATACTCGTGTTAATACAGATATATATGTTACCTTTAAAAGTGTGTAGGTTAGCCAGGCAGTGGTGGCGCACGCCTTTAATCCCAGCACTCGGGAGGCAGAGGCAGGCGGATCTCTGTGAGTTCGAGGCCAGTCTTGTCTAAAGAGCTAGTTCCAGGACAGGAACCAAAAAGCTACAGAGAAACCCTGTCTCAAAAATTAAAAAAAAACAGTGTGTAGGTTTTCAGCCTGGCCATGGTAGTGCACGCCTTTAAGCCCAAAAATCAGGAGGCAGAGGCAGAAGGAATGCTGTGAGTTCAAGGCCAATCTGGTCTACCAAAAAAAAAAAATTGTTTGTTTTCAGAAAAAAAAAAAAAGAAAGACCAGACACTAATAAAAACAAGTGGTCCAAGTGAGCCAGTCTCTCAGAATACCTCTGTTACCATTTCCTCAGAATTCTACATCTAGACAACTTCAGAGCTGCTAGTTGAGATGGTGCAGCCTCACAGACTACTCCAGTCAGGACCTCACACAAGCTCTACACTTTCACATCACACAGAGACTAAACAAAAAGTAATACAGCTAGCTCTCCCAGGATTTGACCATTATCCCAATTTTCCCATAGTCCCCTAAAAATGCCATTACCCCCAGACAACAAAAAAAGTCTTAAAAAAAAATCACATCCACATTCCCAAAAGGTGGGGTGGTGGACAGTTTTTGGTTGTAACTGTTTGTCATGTTTAGAAATTGGTTACAGATTGTTATTCATCATGGTCAGGGAGGTAACTGACAAAGAAAATTAGATTCAGGGATCTTCTTCTAAAAAGAAGGGAGGGATATAGGAATGATAGGATACAAGGGTAGATTAATTACTATACTTTGAAACTACTAGTCTTAAATATTCTACAGTGGGGGGCTGGAGAGATGGCTCAGTGGTTAAGAGCATTGCCTGCTCTTCCAAAGGTCCTGAGTTCAATTCCCAGCAACCACATGGTGGCTCACAGCCATCTGTAATGAGGTCTGGTGCCCTCTTCTGGCCTGCAGACATACACACGGACAGAATATTGTATACATAAAATAAATGAAAAAAAATATTCTACAGTGGTATAAATTTTTGTATATTGACACAAATTTAAGGTTATTTATATATATATATATATATATTATATATGTGTGTGTTTGTTTCTATTCTTGTTTAAGGTACTGTATATACAGTTCATTTAACAATGCAATGCAAATTTCTAGCCCTTAAAAATTATTATTACAAACTATAG